ACACACACACACACACACACACACACACACACACACACACACACACAAACACACACACACACCACCACCACCACCACCACTAAATAATAATAACAGTAGTAATAATAAAGTTTTTAAAAAGTCAATGAAGCAGGTTATATGTGTCATTATAGGCAATCTCAAAACTATCATGGTAAAAAAAATGTACAACTGTGTTTCTAGATACTTTTTACATGGCTTTGAGACACACTGTGACCAGGAGGTGGAGGCAGGAAATCAAGAGTTCAGGGCTGTTAGCTGCATGCAGAGCTTCCAGTACACAGAACTTCGTGTGCCCACTTTTCTGAGTTACTCAGAAAAGTCTAACTTGTCTTTTTTCTTTTTCCTATCCTTTTCTCTCAGGTATTTGTCCACAGTCTGAGCATGCTCTCCCTGAGGCTCTGGGTTTCCTCTTTCTCAGAAGAACTCCCCCCAACCCCTGCCTCGTGCCCTATGGATGTTTGCTGACCGCCACTGCTGAAGATCCCTTCTAGCCTGACTCAAATGCCATGGCTTTCCCTATTCTTCTCCATCTCTCCTTCCTCCCTGATGCTGATTTACAGCTTCCCTGACCTGTTGTGTACACACACACACACACACACACACACACACACACACACACACACGTATATGCAACAAATGTATCTTTTAAAGGCCTGGGAGGGACTTGGAGAGATGGCTGTCTGTAAAGTACTTGTCATGCAAGTACAAGGTCCTGGGTTCAATCCCCAGCACCCACATAAAAGCCTGGTGCTGCCACACGAATCTGTAACACCAGCACTGGGGAGGAGAGAAAGCCAGATCCCCAGAGCTTTCTGGCCAGTCTACCTGACCAGTAAACTCCAGGTTCAAAGAGAGACCTTGGGGGTTGGGGATTTAGCTCAGTGGTAGAGTGCTTGCCTAGCATGCACAAGGCCCTAGGTTCAATCCTCAGCTCCACAAAGAAAAAAGAAAAAAAAAGAAAAAGAAAAAGAACAAAGAGAGACCTTGTATCAAAAAGAGAGAGTGACAGAGGAAGGTAACTTGCTGTGGGGTGTCTTTCTGTATGCTGTGAATATGTGTTGCTCTGATTAGTTGATAAATAAAATGCTGATTGGCCAGTGGCCAGGCAGGAAGTGTAGGCGGGGTGAGCGGACTAGGAGAAGGCTAGGAAGAGGAAGGGCAGAGTCAGGAGACACCAGCTGCTGCCAGGAGAAGCAAGATTGAAAATACCAGTAAGCCACGACCACACGGCAACTTATAGATTAATAGAAATGGGTTAAGTTATAGGAGCTAGCTATCGAGAAGCTTAAGCCATTAGGCCATACAGTGATGTAACATATGCCTCTGTGTTGTGGATATCGCTCTGTGCTGTGGCTACACCTCTGTGTGTTTACTTGGGTCCGAGCGGCCGTGGGATCAGGCAGGACACAGGAAAACATCTGACTACAGTAACTGATGCCAGCTTTTGGCCTACAATACACATACAGCACACACACCCCATACAAAAGACTTGGAGATGATACTGACTTAATGACCTTTGGTGAGGAGAGTGGGAAAGTGAAAGTGAGGAAGAGGTTAGCCATAACTAGATATTAATATCTCTGTTTAAGATAAAGATCTGCAGCAAGATTCATGAACCAATATATTAAGGCTGAGTGGTGGTTCCAAGTCTCATTTTATTATTTTCTGTATGTGCAAAATAGTTCACAATTGAAAAGACCACTCCACCTGCTTCTCGTCTCTTCCTTCCTGTGTGCCCTCTCTGGGCACCCGTGAATCACCTTTTCTCCGGATAGTGGCTGCTTCGCTGACTTCTCTCCCTTCCCTTCAGCTCTTGATAGCCAGTGTGCCCGTGCTGGCTGAGTGTCACAGGTTTCTGGCTCTGGAGGGAGCCCCTGTGAGAGGCAATGGTGTGTGGCCCTGGATAAGTTCAGACCTCCGAATCCTCATCTGTAGGCTTGCGGTATTAAACAAGGCACGTTATTCACCGTGACTTCATTGATATTCAGTTTTAATGTGCTTACTTTGATTCAAGTGAGTCTCCACGGCAATGCAGCCTTGATGGTTATTTGTTCGTTTGCTGTTGTTTGCTGGGATATTTCTTTTTAGCACCTTAGAGGCCACGTATAGTCCCACAAAATTAACTTCGTCCTGGTTTGCTACCATGCTGCCGTAACCCACCCCACCGGCATGTGCAAACTCATCCTTCCTCCTGGATACCCTACCCTTTCCTGAGACCCCCCCACACACACACACACCCTGTGGAGCCTCTTCAAATATCCCTCATTGGAATATAGCCCCATCCTCCTTAGAATCCTCACCACACGCTGTCTCTTTCTCAGGGCACTTATCTTAAACTGCTGAGGTGGGCTTAATTAGCAGAGGGAAACAACACCTTTTTTTTTCTCATCATCCCACCCTGAGCCTTTGAGCCCAACCCCTTCTCTGTGAGCTTTAAGCTTTTGAAGGCGAAGAACTATGGTGAGTCCTCCTCAGCCCCCAGCACAGAGCCTGGCGCTTGTCAAATGCTTGCAGATGGGATCAGCTGGTTGGAGGACTGAGACAAGGCCTGCCCCACAGCAGTGTGTCCAGCCGCTCCAAGAAGCCGACAGTGCTGTTGTTCATTGCTTCTCTGAGTGGCAGCGGCCAGAGGTGAGTGTCCAGCAGAAGCTGTGGCCCGAGACAAAGAAGAATTCACGGGTGAATTCAGAATGTCCAGGGGATGTAAACATGGAAAAAAGAACCAAACAAGATAAGAAAAAAAAAAAAAAAAAACCTCTATGCAACAGCAATGGACTCTCTTCTTCTTATTTCCTGGCTCCCTGTCTGCTGTCCACTGACACGGTTCTGTTCATGGGAAAAGCAACTGCCTCTGGAAGAACATAGACCCGGAGAAAGAGAAAGACACGGTGCCACACTCATGGAGAGCATCCTCAGAGGGAAAGGACAGCCCTGGCGAGCCAAAGACCCTCCTTCTTTCCTTTGTACCCCCCCCCCTTTATATCCTATTTTATTCACTTTCTAATGAGCCAGACCACTGAGCACTAAAGGCTGAAAAGATTTTATTATCCCAGACTACAAGAGACCGGCTCCCCACAGGAAGGGACAAGGTCACAGTCCAGTCTGAAGAATTGTATCTGTAAACAAATCGTGATGGATGAGGAGGCAAGAACATGGGTGTCAATGTCAGGAGAAACTCTTGGTGAGGTCAACCTGGAGCTCCTGCAGTCGCCCAGTTCACCACAGTGGTGTGAGCATGGAAAAAGAGTCTTCATGGCGCTCCTCAGCTCGGGCTAAGGGCCCTCCAGAGGTGATCCATTCCCCACCCCAGGCAAAGCAGGAGTAAAACATTGTCCCACCACATGACACCTGTCACACTTTGTGACGTACTGTCCCACCAGCACGTCCCATGGTATGGAGACAAGTCAATGTTGGATTTTTTTTTTCTTCTTTTTCTTTTGAGGCAGAGTGTTTCCTATGTTGCCCCAGGCCAACCACAAACTCCAGGCTTGAGTGGTCCTCCAACTACACAGCCCTTAGAGAGGAAAATCAGCCTGGTCTTTTCCAGGCTGCAAATTGGTAAGAGTGCTTTTCTGCCTCGCTTGCTCTCATTAAAAACCCTCAGAACATAAATCACAACTTACCGCCAATAATTTGCCTGTAATTTACAGGCTTTCAAATGAATGGTGAAGTTGGGTTTAAATGAGATTATTCCTATCTCAATTTAAAATCCACTGACACAATTAGCATTTCCCCCATGTCTCCCCTTACTACTTAATTATACTAAGTGTTTCCGGTTTACATTTTTTCAGCTTGCCATAGATGTCTAACAAACACGTGACAGTAAAATATTTCACTTCAATTACAACTAAAGAGGGCTGGAAAGGACAGAGTGGGTTAGAAAAGCAATCTGCTAGGTCATAATTAGAAACCAGTGGGGAATTCACATCTGTGGATATTTACTTCCCCCATGCTGGGAGGGAAAGATGCCTACAAATCCAGGTCACTGAGTAGCAATTCCAGGGACCAGAAACCATTGTGTCCTCAGCCACTACCATCATAAAACATGCTCCTGCCTCATAAGTCAAGAGTAAATGAATACCACACGCAGAAGGAACCAGACGGGGTGTGCCAGCTAGGATACATTTCCATGGCTTGAAGGTGGGAAGGGGTGGACCAGAGGATGTTGAGTCCCAGCTTTAAACAGGTGGTGTCTTTGTCTCTGGAAAGCTCTGCCATCCTTCGTGTGATCAACAAAGGCACCTGGCACACGCGTCAGCTCTCAATCTTTCAAATCCTCCTGGCTTCTGTTCTGCTGCAGACTAGAGTGGACAGCTGCTTTACAACAGTGAGCCGGATCCCTCAGAGTTCATCTCCCGATTACAGGGAGAGCTGCCAGGTGACAGCGAGAGAGGCCAGGGCAAACACAGAGCAGAGAAGCAGACGCAGCTACATTCCGCACGGCCTAATTGGTTCTGATGGCGTTTTGGCATGGCGGCACAGTCCAGTAATTGAACTTGGCAATAACTGAGTCGTCAAGAGAAGTTAAGTTGTGACTGTGTCACTGGGAGCTGGTCATCAAGTCATTTACAAAACACCACTCACGCCGGAATGCACCTGACTCTGTCTGAACCCCAGGGCTAGAAAGACAGATGAAACACGGTCCCTGCCCTCAAAAGGCTCTGTGGATGGGGGAATCAAAGCAGATGATCCCTAAGAGCCCTTTCCGAGAGTTAGGATGTTTCATGCCTTGGGACCTGAAACATAAAATAGTAGTTACTTTTACATCGCTGTGACCAGAATCCTTAGCAGAAACACTTTAAAGAGTACTTGGGTTCATTGTTGCCGTGGGCCCAGCTCACGTTCATGAGGCTGCAGAACAAAAACAGACAGTGATCCAAACTAGAGGGCAGGCTATTAACCTTCAGTGGCCCACCCCTGGTGACGTGCTGCCACTAGCTAGGCAACACCCCCTAAAGCCTTCACAGCTCCCCCCAAATAGCATCACCAGCTGACGAACAACCATTCAAAACGGGAACTGTGGAGGGCATTCTGCCTCCAAGCACAGCACCCGACCATCCCGGGAGCCCCAATCCTGGTGATGGCACCTGTGTTGCAAGTGAACAGGCGTCTTGTCCAAGGTCAGGGGGCTAATGAGGAGCGAGTCAGAACCCTCGGGTATATGACCCACCAGCTACTGAGGCCCTTTGAAGGCCTGGAGATGGTTCAAGGGGTGAAAGCCACAAGCCTGACAACCCGAGTTCGATCCCTGGAAGGGGTGGGGTCCTCACAATCCCAGCATGCCTGGGATGAAATGGGAGGGGAAACCAGACTATCAGCGGGAGCTGGCAGGAACACCGGAGATCTTACACCACTAAGGTGGAAGGAGAGAACCAGCACACCCAAAAGTTGTCATCTGGCCTCCACAAGTACACTGTGGCACGCACGCACACACACACACACACACACACACACACACACACACACACACTAATAATAAAATTTATTTTAAAGAGAAAGGCCATCTTATTCCCACTATGTGCTCTTTCTCTACTTTCTCCCTCCAAAAGTGAGAGTCGGAATAGATGGAGAACTGCTCATTTGATAACTGCATGGGTTTGTGGGTCTGAAAAACAAAAATTCTGCAGCTACAAAATAAAACATGCAATCGGACAACAATAAATATATGTAAAATGAAATGCAACTACAATAGCATTAAAATATCTATTAAACCAACAGCAGGATTAAATTAAAAAAAAAGTCAACAGGGACACATGCTGAACTGAAATATATTAGAAAATGTTGTAGATGGAAAAATCCAGGTTGGAAAAACTATGAAACTACACCATGCACATGTACACACACACACACACACACACACACACACACACACACACACACACACACACACTCACCTTTGGCAGAGTTGGTGCAGGCACAGAGATGTGACATACTATGACCTGCCTTGCTTTCTCCCCTGATGGCTGGTGCCAAATGCCATCACCTCCATTGTTACAGAGACCTGTGATGGGAACAAGTACCCTGTCTTTGGACAGAACAATGTGTAAATGGAGAAGGATGGCCGCTTGAAAGCCACTGATTCAAAGCAGATGGTTTATAATGCCACACAGAGATGGCCACAAGCACACTGCCTAGCATCAAGACAGAAAGTGACATAAGCCTGGGGATGAACATTTACTGAGCACCTACTGGGTGCTCTGCTAGATATTTAATATGTGCTAGCTCATCCACTCCTCACATCCAGTCTCTGAGACAAGAAATGCCCACTGATGCTCAGAGACGTGGCTTGTACAGGAGTATATGGCTAGCTCATGGCAGAGGAAGGATATGCATTCAACTCAAGCTCACATCCAACTGTTTTACCCTCTACCACACTGCTTTCAAGACAGATTCCAGTCCCCAAGGTTATCAGCCATATAATCTTTATATAACAAATTAATTCCTAGCATCTCAGGACCTGCCTGTCTCCTGGGATTATGGTCAGGATCAAAGAAGAAAACCATGAACATTTTGCTATTTTAAAAGGCCCTACACAATGACAGTGATATCCATTTGCAGAGTACTGGACTTACTGCTCCACAGAGATTACTTCACTTAATTCTCATGACAGTCTGTCACACTGGAATTACGTCTCCCCGTATAGATGAAGACGTGAGACTCAGATGAAATAACTTGCTCCAAAGTCACACTCTAGCAGGTAGAAAGCGAGTGATGTGAAGCCAGGCTTAACTACTCCCGAGCTCCAGGACTTCCCACTACCTTCTGTCATATCATTGTTTTCCTCCCTTGGATCCACAGGGCATAGAGAGTCATAAGCAGGATAGTCTCGTCTGAGATGTCATCACCTTGGGAAGACTGGCATGCCCTGCAGTTGAGCTGGGATCACTTTTAGTGTGTATACACTGCTTGTCTTTGTGTGACTGAACAGAAAAATCAAGAGTATGTACTGCTGGTCTACTATGTGCCACTTCTGAGCCAGGTTCTGAGTTCCAGGGACAGCATGCTCCTTTGGGTACTCTTCTCAAAGACTCACAGTGCACTGTGGATGCTAAATACATACATACCAACATTCACTCATTCAGTAAGTACTTACTGATCCCCTCCTCTGGACTCTGCATTAGGCTCTAAGGACACAAAGGTGAACCAAATAGCTGTGATAATAGGCTCAGAATGAAAGTGTGCTCCTAGCAGAGGCACCTGACGCTGTGTGCCTAAGAGTGGAAATGATCAGAAAAAAAGTGCCCAAAGGAGGTGATAACTGAGAACCACCACATTCTGTCTGCACCATCTGAGTTTGCATAGGCTGTATTTACCCCATAGTAAGAATCCTACTGAGTAGTATTATTTTATGGACTTAAATAAGTTGTATTAAAGGGCAGAATCTGACCTGAAACTCTCCCCAAGTTTCTCTGACTCCAAAGATGGTAGTCTTTATTATATGTAGGTTTCATCTGGAAACAGTAAACTCTAGCTATGATGTGTTGTGGAATATTATTTTAACTATGTAAAGATGTGTGACATTTGTTTAAAGATGTAGAGATGCGTTGCTTTGCCTGCCTAAGGCACCTGATTGGTCTAGTAAAAAGCTGAATGGCCAATAGAAGGATAGGTGGGGCTGGAAGGCAGAGAGAATAAATAGGAGGAAGAATCTAGGCTCGGGAGGAAACGAAGGAAGAGAACAAGGGAGAAAGAGGGAGGTGTCCATGGCTAGACAACTGCCAACCACACAGACACAGAGTAGGACATACAGAAGAGAGGTAAAGAGCCCCAAGGTAAAATGTGGATGAAGAGAAACAGGTTAAAATAAGTTATAAGAGCTGGTGGGGCAAGCCTAAAATAAGGCCGAGCGTGCATAACTAATAAGAAGTCTCTGTGTCATGATTTGGGAGCTGGTTGGTGGCCCAGAAGGAAGCCTGTTACAATGATGGGAGGCAAAGACACACTACTGTATTAGGTTTTTGTCACTGATCGAATACATGAGGCTTCAGTCCCTGGTAAGCTAGCCTGGCTGCTTTGAGCCTGTGGCAAGGCAGAGCATCACGTTGGGAGCATGTGATGGAGTAAAGATGCTTCCTACGGTGGCCTAGAAGAGAGAGGAAGGGACTAGGAGCCCAAAACTCTCTCCAAGGACCAACTCCTTGGGAGCCAAGCCTTTAACACTTTGCAGGGGCATTCAAGATGCAAACTATGTGAACTAGAGCGGTGCCTCAGTGGTTGCTCCTCCAGAGAACTGGTGTCCAATTCCCAGCACCCACATGGTGGCTCACAACCTCCTGTAACTTCAGTTCCAGGGGATACAACACCCTTTTTTGGTTTCAAGGGCAGCAGGCATGCAAGTGGTACACAGAGAAGCATGCAGGCAAAACACCCATACACTTAAAACAAAACAAAATTTAAAGATCCAAACAACCATGAATGAAGTAAGTGCCATGTGGAACGCACCATGGAGGAGGCATGGCTTGAATGGAGCTTGGCTTAAGAGTCACTGGCCTGCTGGGTGGTGGTGTATGCTTGTAATCCCAGCACTTGGGAGGCAGAGGCAGGTGGATCTCCATGAGTTCGAGGCCAGCCTAGTCTACAGAGCAAGTTCCAGGACAGCCACGGTGTGTTCATGAGAAACCCTGTCTCGAGAAAATAAAAAAAAGGGGGGGGAGGGGGAGTCATGGGTCTAACACAGGTTCTTTCCCTGGGTTATGCTCAGGGAAGAAAATCTTACGAGGGCATGGCTCTTTTCCCAGCAGCTCAGGCAGGGTACAACTGTTTTGGTTGGGAGTCAGATGAAGATGGGAAATCGCTAGGTATAGGAAACAGAAACCCGGTCAGACTGGGTTAAACAAAGCCAACAAACCCAAATACGGAGGCCTGCAGGGATTCAGACATTTTGTGAGACCTATGAGGCAGAATGTGTGTGGTCCTCTCCCTACCCCAGGGATAGCTGTAGGCAGGCTGAGAACACTGACGAGGGCCGGCCACTCTCCCCTGCCTGCCTCTCCCCAAATGTCCACTTTGCCCTGCAGTCTGGCTTTCACCATCTCTCTGTAGCAGACAAAAGGGCCTCCAAGGAGAAGACATTTTTAAACTGGGACAGGGAGTGTCCAAACATCTCTGACCAGTCATTTTTAAAATGCCCAGGAAAGAGAACCTGACTTGTTCCTCCCTGAGCAGCCCAGCTGTGGTCAGGGAGTAAGGGAGTCTATCCTCAGAGAGGCAAATATTCAAGAGGTGGACCCCAGAGGCCCTGCGGACTGTTTGGAGAGCTGGGTGACGACTGTTGGCAGTTTTGGTGAACTGGGGCTGGGAGCACCTCCTTTTTCCGGCCTCACTCTGTTGTTGCCCTTTAGATGATACACTGGCATCTGTGCTTCATTCTTCCGCGCAGTTATTAAATCCATACATAAAGACTTAACCTCGGAAGCTCTGCCTTGTGAGTGTAGGTGTTAAAGAGGTGGAGGAAACGGGCAGGAGAGGTGCCTCCGCAGCTAGAGCCCAGGCTGCTCTTTCAGAGGACCCGGGTTCAATTCCCAGCACCCACATCGCTGCTCACAACGATCTGTAGCTCCAGTTCCAGGGATCCAACACCCTCTTTTGGATTCTGTGGGCACCAGGCATGTAACTGATACACAGATATACACGTAGACAAAACACACATACACACGAAAGAAATTAAAGCTAAGAAGGGGGTGGGGAGGTGCTTACCAGCCTTGGTGGCTGCAGCAGAGAACATGGCATCCTCTCCCAGGCTGCTGGGACCAAGAAGATCCCAACAAACTAAACAGGTCTTGCCCTCCAGCTGAAGAAATGGCAGGCTTACCAAGAGCATGCTGCAAAGCAGCCAGGCAGGCTAGATAGGAGCCCTAGAGACCCAATCGAAAGGCCAGGAGGAATACTAGGGCAGTTTTCTCTGCAGTTCTCAAAATGAGCGTGTTTGGGACTAGGCCAGCCAGACAAACAGGGAGCTGTGAAAAGCCACAGGGGCAGGCACTGTGCGAGGACAGGAATAAAGAGGGGGCCTGGAAAATCGGAGGCTGGAGGAGGAAGCAGGGGAAGGGCGCTGCTTCCTGTTTAGCTCAGAGCCCCATCACAGAGGAGGCAGTGACAGCTGTGTCACCCTGCTGTCTTTGCCCTGCCCCTCCCCACCCCTGGGGCTCATGGGCCTCCATTAACAGGAGAGACAAGCACACCGGCTTCTCTGGCAGGCACCAAGGAGGCGAGCACGGTAAAAACAGAAGGGAGAGTTTGAGTGGTGAGACAGGAAGTTCAGGGGTCTGGGGTGGGATGAGAAGGTCCTCCCAACCCTGATTCATGATGCCAGAGCACAGCTGCGCCAGTTGTTGAAAGGACACTGTCTCCAGAGCTGCAGTCCCTCCTGGTTCTTAATGGCGACTGTCTTCCAGCCTGGGGTTGGGGAAAGATGGGGAACTTCTCTGTAGGCTTCAACCTCGCTCTTCTCCACAAGGGTCTTTGCCCTCCACGCTCTTTTGGTCCACTACAGAGGTCATGGCCTGTTTCAGCCAAGGGAAGGCCTAGGAGGTCTGGGGGATGGGGTAACCAAGGCTGTTTTTGATAGGATTCAGCTGCCGAGACTGCCTCCTTGAGCAGCCGATAACTTAGTTGAATGAATTTGGCCCGCTGACAGGACATGCCCACGCAGTGCATCTCACCTTCTCAGAGACTTCCAAAAGAGCCCCAGCCCCAGCTCAAGAGCCAAACGAAAAGGAAGAGGACAGAGTGACAAGGCCCCGGAGGTCCCTGCCCTTTCAGGTAAGTCTAGGCAAGCCTTTCCAGGGAACTCTGAAGACAAATCAACAGCAAGCAAAAGCCAGTTGCTCTGTTCTTTCCCACTAAGATTCTGAGCAAAGAAAGCTGTAACAAGTACACACCTGTGAGAGACAGGAGGCCCCAGTCTGTATAAAACGGGTGAAACATTAAAGATACAATCCATGCACTTGTTCCTGCGGTGATATTTACATACACCATCTGAGCTGGTCTCACTAGGGTCATCAAAAAGCCACTCCTACATCAACAAAACTCCACAGACGCGGTCCCACCCTCCAGTGGTTTCTCTCTAGGCACAGTCACACTGGGAAGGAGACAAGTACTCCTGCCAGGTGGTCACACACACACACACACACACACACACACATACAGTTACACCACACGGTTTCAGACAGTGCCCTCCTCACTCTCTCTCGCACACATCACCCCACACAGCTGCACGCACACAGACCACCCATTTGTACACACAGGTCTCACGCAGGACCGTCTCACACTGTTGCTCAGACTCTTTGTCTTGCAGAGCGCCACACAAGCACCCCCCACGTGCTCACTGTCACAGCGCCACACTGCACCTTCCATCCCCTGGTCCTGCTCTCAAGGCCTCCACAGAGAGCTCCCTCCTCCACAGCCCTCCTATGTGCCCCGCATTGCAGCCAGATGTTCCGTGGGCAGACCCCTCTATGGGCTGACAGGCGGTGATTACTGTTGCCAGCCCCACATTAGGAGAGAATTGAATGGGAGAGAGCCCCCTCCCGCCTCAGGCTCCCTACAATAGTGCCTTTGTGAGGTGCTCCGCTGCTGCCTTTCTTTCCTCTCCCCGACCAACCTACGTCAGGAGCAGCCCTGCCTGAGGAGAGAAGACAAAAGGAGGATCACAGGCCCTGACTGATCCGCCCCATCCTGGGGAAGGAGGGCTGTACTTTGGAGAGAAGGCTGTGTTCCTGTCCCCCGTCGTCCCCCCCCCCCCCCGCCCGTTCCTCCCCGGTAAATAATCCAGAGGGCTGCCTGAGGTAAACTCCCCCACAGAAGCCAAGGCTTCTATCCATCAGCCAGCCTTAAGCTTGTGAGTTGAACATGGGGATGAGGCCTGGGAAAGGGACATCATGCAGAGCCCAGCCGATCCCCAGAGACTAGAGTCCAGAGCCTGGCTCCTCCGGTCCTTTCCGCCTTCTGGATTGCTCCCTGCAATCTGGTGTGTGAGGTTAGGGGATTCGACCAGCAGGGGTTAAGTTTCCAGGACTCCCGGGCAGACTTCAGTCGGCTTCCAGGACTGGGGTAGGAGGGTGGGCAGATGAGGGTGGAGCGGAGGGTATATGTTGGGAAACTGGTGAGACCGAATTCTGGGATGGTCACTGCCCCTCCTCCTCGTCCAAACCGCAGACGCTGTGGCAGCAGGAAAATCAGAGCGGTTCAGACCAAGGATTGTGCAACCCGGCCCCGGGAAGAGCCAGTGCTCTCCAAGCTGGGAGTGGGGACCTGGCCTCAGAAACAGAATCTCACTTCAGAGGTGAGACTAGACACACTTGTATGCCGTGCTGGCTTCTACTCTAGACTTCACACCCAGTAAGATCCACTTTCTGGGTCAAAGTCCACCAGCAGCTGGATCTGGAAGCCCTGCCCCTGGGCTCCAGGGTTCAGCAGTCAGAGGCTCTCTGCCTGCCGTTGGTGGGTCTCTGAGGTTGCTGTGGAGTGCCGTGGGCGTGGACGGGGAGGCCTTTTGTCCAACCTTCTAAAGCGCCCCACAGCAAAATAGGTGACTAGAGAAATTCCCGGGGAGTGAGCGGAGCCCAGGCAATCCCTAACATGGCAGGAGGAGAAAGCAGCCATGGAACTCTGATCTGAGGGCTACCCCAAACACACACAGGAGAGGAATGGCGGGTTTTCCTTTTAATGCAAAATGTTGCCATACAAAGTGATGTGGGGAAAGCCCCACAATCCCCCAGTTGGAGGGGCGAACGAAGGGGGACAGAGTTGTCTCTGTGAGTTCTTCTCTCCCTTGGGTCACACTGCTGTCTGGGGTTGACCCTATCCAAAGGTTTGGGGCTAAAATTTGTGGACACAGAGCAGGAGAGAGAGCAGGAGTGGATATTTAGGGTGTTGGCTGTTTTAGTTCTAAAAGGTTACTCAAGATCTGGAGCTCTGCGCAAAACAAAGGGGCTATGAGGATTTGGTTGCTGTTGTTTAAAAATGAGGGGATGTGAGCCACCACTGGCCTTCATTTGAAGAATGAACAGCGGACCTAACAAGAACATAAATGTGTGGAGATAAGAGAATCAGAAGCACCAGCTGCTTACAATTCCTCCTCTTTCTTCCTCATCTCCAGCTTGTAGACAATCTGGTAGCCATCATCCCAGGCATACAGCTGGCGCTCACGGGGGTTATAGCGAAGGCTGGCATGGGCACCGTATCGTCGTGGAAAATAAGAGAGTGCTGCCCGTTCAGGGGTCAGCGTACCACTGGCATCAAAGGAACACTGAATTCGGGCCCGACTGGCAGGGCGGGTGTTATAGACAACGTACAGGGTTCCGCAGATGACAAAGGCAGCCTCTGCATTCTCTCTGGGACATGGCGTGTCCCACTGCTGCTCTGTGTCAAGTGTTTGTGGATCTAGCTTGGCTAGACACAAGTGCCTGTCATCGTCGCGAGTGGCATAGACAGCCCAAAGGCCCTCCTCATCGGCTGCCAGGTCAATGTACGTGTCCACTGTCAGCCCATAGGGGGGTATCAACTTCTCTGCAGGGAACACTGAGCTGTCCACCACAGTTCTGTTTGCCAGGTGAAATTTGATCAGCTGAAGAGTATTCTCCAGTTCACCGCCCCCTCCAGGCCCTCCAGGAGGCCTTCGAGCATAATACAGGAAGCCGCCATACACCAGCTGCCCTGTGCCTACCCAGGGGAAGGGCACCCGAACTCGGGAAGCTTTCCGGGCCGCCATGGCAAGGGTGAAGTCGCGCAGCCTCGGGAAGACGAAAGCGGTGTCGTTCTGTGTGCCGTCCAGCACGTAGATCTTCTCGGCTGGCCCCAGTGGATCCTTGGTCCATAGACCAGAGGGGCCGCCAAACCGCTTCAGGATCTTCATTGACCTCACCTGAGAGATTGTGTAGCCACAGTCTGGTGGAGAAGAGGAGAAGCACAGGAGAATAGAGACCCAAGAGTTAGACATCTATAGCAGGAACTCCCCGGGGTTCGTGGAGGGTTAAGAGGTGGGGGCACCAATAAGGCGTGGGCCTCTAGAAACTCTTTATGGACTTGTCATTAAGGGTTTCCTCCAAACATATTCCGGAAGATAGAGCCATGGTGGCTATGGACAAGGAGAAGGGAAGCAGGGCAGAGGAGTTCTGAGATTGTTTGGGTCTCTTTGAGATCACTTACCTGTCACCATATCATACTTCTCATTTCTTCGGCCCTTGCCTTTGGCCCCAGGGCCTCCAGTCGCCTTCTCATCCAGCTCCACACAGGGCAAAGCTGGGTTCTGGGTCTCCAGATAGTCCACTTCCCGCTCAAGACGGTCCACTCTTCCTGAGATGGTGTCTGCCTCGGTTCGGAGAGCTTCCCGCTCCTTCTCCGCCACCTCCAGTAGGGGCAGCATCTTGTTCTTGAAGTCCCGCAGCTCAGCAGCATGCCGGCTGCTCTGGTCCTGGCACTGGGCCAGCCGTTCCTGAAGGGATGGGGGAGTCAGGGGGAGGGCGGGCTGCTGGGTTATAATTCCCAGGCAAGCGGAGGCCCAACCAGGGAGTCAGGACCGGGAAAAGGAGCAAACTCAGCTGGGCTCCAACAGCCCCTGATGCTCCCACTGCAGAGGAGACTAGTTGTCAGGCGCTACCCATCCAAGGAACCTGAATAAGAGTCCTTCAGCCTGTGCTATCAGGGTTCTGAGCCTCCAGGAAATCATAAAAGGGGGTGGACATGGGGTACCCGGAAGAGACGGACAGGGAGTTGCAGGCAGATTACCTGGGAAACTTTAACACTATAGCCAGCTAGTTCTGAGATACAGCCCGGTTCTGACTCTCATAATCCCCAGGGAAAGCATTGGGTTTATCTGAGTGCAATTGTTTGATGCTGGGGAAATAGGAGTCTGTAATTAGGAGGCTCCTCGTCACTAAGCTGTGTACTTTCCTGCAGCCTCTTAACAGAGCCCGATCTTGTCACTCCCAGAACCCTGACAACTAGTTGCACTGACAGATGTGGAATCATTCCTGTCTAGGCTAGAAGAGAAACGAATCCCTCACCTCTAAGGCAGCTAGTCGGCGTTCCATGTACTCCACAAGGTGGTGCTGCTGTCCCTGAAGGGGTCCCGTCCATGACAAGAAGAAGAAGAAGCAGAGCAGAGGAGCACTGGGCCCCATGGCAGCCTTAAGTAGGGCCAGAGGAGGAGTGTGCTTTCGGCGGCCTCTTTCCCTCCAGCCCGTTAGCTTTGGAGGCGGGGTGGGGGCGGCGCCTCCTCTTTCTGATCTCTGGGTGTCTCTCACTACTCTGGAATGCTTTCAGTCTCTTTACAACCCCCACCCCCTCCTTCCCGCCTGGATTGATCAAACACAGATGGCCCCTTTGCACAGTCGCCAGAAGCCTTAACCACCAGCAGCTTAGGTTTGTACGCTCCTTGGGATGGGGAAGGGATGGCAATCTAAAGGCCTTCTGGACAGTCACACAGGGCTTGGAGAGAGGAAGCGGCAGGAAGCCGAGACCCCCGGGGGCACTCAGCAAACTCCATTCGTTTGAGGAGGGCTTCCAGTGCTGACTTAGGAAGAACCCGACACCCTTCATTAATCCTTCCCTTCTCCAGCAATAACAGAATGGATTTTCTGCCCTGCTCAGTGAAGCCAGAAACACAGGAGATGAGGTTTGAGGGGGTGGGGGTTGCGGGGCAAAGTGAAGTCAAATTTCTACAGCTCATTGGCGCCACCTTGCGCTGAGCACCTGAGGCCATCTCCCATAACAAATAGAGAAATCAGAGCAGGGCTTCACCTCGGGTGGAAAAACTACCCAAGCAAGCCAAATGGGTTGAATTTGGAGGTTTTTCTTCAAAATACAGGGCTCCCTCTAGAGTACCAAACCTCTGACTTGGCCCAAGGAATGAAATATATAAGATAAAATTCAACAATAAAACCCGAGGTTGTTGAGAAGTGTTTTTGGTGGTGGTTTTTGTGTTTGTTTTGTTGTTGTTGTTTTAAACTAGCTGACTTACATTAGAACCTGAGAGCTATTTAACATGGCTTTCCAGGTATTCCCTTGCCAAAACAGGAGCGTGCATCAGAGACAAGCTAATTTACATTCACAGATTTAGGGGAAGTAACCTGAAAAAATACATACAATGTAGTCTAAATCAAAACAAATACATTCTGACCTTCCTATTACTGGGAGAGAACAGACTATTAGTCATTTCTCTTGGTTAGGGTTCAGTAGGGTTTTTTTAAAAGTATTTCTCGTTTCTTTTTTTATTATTTTTCAAGTTATGTATACTTTTGTATGGCTGTATATAGGTATGTGCATGTGATACAGGTACCCGTGGAGACCAGAGGAGGGCATCAGATCTTCCAGAGCTGAATGATTAGGAGGTGTGAGCACTGAGTTACAGGAGGTTGTGAGCTGCCAGACATGACTGCTGAGAACTGAACTCCTGTCCTCTGCAAGAGCAGTCCACACTCTTAACAGCTACGCCTCCTCTCCAGCCCCAGTGTTTCTCATTTCTACCCAGCTACAACTGCAAATTAGTCCAAAGTAAATTAACTGACCACTGTAAAGTTAGGCAGGAACATACATTAAAAGAAGTCAAATAAATATCATTTACTCAGGGACCTGCAGTGATTAATCTAGACAAATTCCTGTTTCTTTTCAAGAGAAACTTTTGTTCACTTTGGAATCAAGAGAAATTTGATCAGAGGTTCTCCTTGTTTTTAAAGTTTTCTTTATGTGTCTGTGGGTGTGTATGTAGGGCAGAACCCCTGCAGCTGGAGTTATAATTAATTGTGAGGCATCTGATGTGGGTGCTGGGAATTAAACCCAGATTCTCCATAAGAGCAGGAAATGCTTTACCATGAGCCATCTCTCAAGGCCCAGGTTGTTCTTTAAAGCGGCAACAAGCTCTACCAGGGCCAAAGGAGAGAGCAAAAACACCTTCTGTAACTTGCTTTCACTGGACTGCGGTAAATGTTTGATGACACCCACTAGGAAACAAAGTTATCTCAAAAGCCGGCTGCCTTTTCAAAGGGCCAGAGTCAGGAGTCCAGGGCCCTGGAGACACTTTCCTCTTGGGAAATACCTCTACAAAATGGCATTCATTTCCATTTTGGAGCCTGGTACAAAGTTATTCTAATGTGATAGTATTCTACTCATCTTCAAATAGTATGTTTAGTCACTCCAAAGATGCTATTTATTGATCTCCTTTATGCCCTAATCAGAAGTAAAAACAGCCACAGTCAGAAAATTTACCCATTTTATTGATGCATTGCAATTGCTCTACTTTTTACCATATTATGTAGAAAATACTGAAAATACAAGCTACTTTGTAAAACCAAAGACAAACATTGAATCCAAAGATAAACTATGTTTTACACAATGGACCCTTTCCCCATAGTTAGTATTAAATTTTAAATAGCTATTTCTTTTGT